CATAACGGGCGACAGTTGCAGTAAATTCCAGTCTCTTAGGAAAGGCAACGATCTAGCCTCTGTGACCAGACATTGAGACCTTGACTTCATCCACCCTCCCTTGTGCAGAATGAACACAATGAGGCCTTCTTCGGCCGCAGTTATTTCTTCTCTTCCTTCTTTGGACTTCTGAACCGAATCTTCCACAACCTTCCGAGAACACCGTTGTACGCAACTGATACTTCGGCAGAGGATAAATTTTAGCGCACTCTTTCCTTGTATAACGCCCGATTCCACAATCCGGTGCTGGTTTTGATCACTTCTTTTTTGTTTTTTTTTTTTTCAACCTCTTTAGAACTCTTTCTGTGGCTCTGTACAGATACGTACCTGAAGGTACCAGATTGCAGACAATGTAGTAGCCCGCAGCCCCAGTGCCTTTGCTTTCCTACCATTCCTCAATTTGTCTCCACGTTTTTGAATGAGATAACCTAATACAATGCAAACTCTCAGGGCTACAAGGGATAGGTGGTTTCCAGACCTTGAACTTTTAATCCATTTTGAAAAGGCACTCCACGACCTAAACTCCCTTGTAATGTCAGTCAACGAGGAAAAAAAATCGAACAACTCATACGAAAGTTTCAGATCATAACATTCAAGGGCTTCTTTTGCAAAATTAGAATGCCCGCTGTCTGCCTGCAAGAACTACTGCCACCGAAATGCTCCGCCTTATAGGAAGAACGCCAAAAAATGTTTCTAAATGCAAAACGAATGAGAAAAATAACCGTCAAAATATCCAGTAAACAAACCTCCACAATTCCCACATGGCCAGTGACAACCATGACATTCTGGAATCAAGCAATCACATAAAGTCATGCTTTCTTCACCAGGAACTACAAGTTTTCCTTTTTTGTCATGAAAGATATGACGCTTTTCTTGGGTGGATTCTTTATCTTCTGCAACAGCTCGAGCTTAAATAAAGAAGGTATACATTTTTAAGTTCTGGCAACAGTGAAAAACGTGGCATTTTACACACCCATAAAAAGAAACAATCGAATGTAAACACGACTTTACCATTTATCTTACGTCTTGAACGACGTGTATTCGTTGGCTGCGTCATTAGACCACCAGGATTCACGAACTGGAGTTTGCCAAGCTCGCGCTGCATCTGCCTCTGGCGATCTGCAAGGAGAACGAGCGTATGATAACAGACCGGGTGAACTAAAAGTAAGAAATGTATGACCCAAAGATCCCTTACTTTATTCGTGCGAAAAATATTTCAGATGTTTTCTTTGTGATGAGCCTAAATCCGCTCTCATACTTCGCGTCAGCATACGCCAGCGTAAGGCAGCGTTTTGAGAGCACGCCGGTGCTGGCGCCTAGAAAAACACAGATACCGACCTAGAGTCCTCCAGCGCATCCAGCGTACAGCTGCGCCTTCGCGGGCAGTTTTGCTCAAACTCAAATTGCCCGCGAAAACGGCGTTACATACTCTGGCGTGGTCTCAGGATATCTGTCAATCGCGGAGCCTTCCTTGTCCTTCCTTCATTTACTTCTTTCATTCTGTCATCCCTCTTCCTTATTTACGGGGCAGTTGTCAACCAGACGTGCTTTCGCTGCGGGGGTCCAGGGTTGTTTTCACGAGGCATACTAACAAATTTACAGTCCAGTCCAGTAGTTGAAGGGAGAAGGTAAAGGAGGAGGGATCAGAGAAGGAAGGAAGGAAAAGAAGGAGGGAGGAAGAAAAAAGGAAAGAGAGGAGAGGCTTCCTCGGTTGACAAGTGCCCTGAGACGGTAACCCGCTGGCGTTCACTAGATCGATATCTATACTTTCCCAAACGCGCACTCTGACGTACGTTGACGCCAAGTAAGAACGCACCATAGGATCGCGTTTAAACGTCGCAACGTACGACCACGACCAGAGACACTCCTTCTACGAAAACGTGCACCGCCGCAACGGCACAATTCAGACTTGTGTTAATGCGGCCCAATTTAGATACTGTCATTGCGGAGCATACTTGGCGGTGGAGCGCCCCCGGTCGTGTTCTATCTAGTGGTTCGAGCGTTACGATCGCAACGTCTGAATGCGGTCCTATACTTAAACAATCTCCACCATTCAAGAAGAAAAGAACTAACTGAGTTCATCTTGCGACACTGAAACTCCATCATCGTATCTTTCGTCAAAGAAAATCAAGTTGGCCAGGGTCGATTCTTGCATACTGATTGACTGACTTGGTTGCTGATCCTGCTGTTGGGAATCCTAAGCACCATACACTTAAAACTTCTGTCATGTTTAAATTATAGACACAAAAAGACAACATCAGTAACTAGTGGTTCACACTTCAACTCTTGAAATTTAGTGATGTGCGCTGGTGTAACGGAACGCTCGCTACACCTAAACGTTCAACGCTGGCACCATACCTAATACAATCTTCAACTGAACACATTAAAACAGAGGTGAGACATAATTCAGAGAAGGAAGATCAATAAAATAAAACCAGCATAAATGTAGCTGGAATACATTATAGTATGATATTGGGCGCTGGTAGACGCTGGTGCCTACTAGATCGATATCTATACCTTCCTAGACGCTCGAAACACTGGTGGGTCGCTGGTGGACGCAAAATGCAAACACAGCCTGACTTGTCGGTAGGGAGGAGAGGGTCGTATGTGCATGTTAACTGCAGGTAACAAGTATGACAACACAGCAGTTGTACAACATTAGAGAATGGAACACTGTTCTCCCTTTTGCGCCTGATTCGTATCTCCGCCGGTTGGGGAATTCATGAAATTAATCCAGTGTAAATGAAAAAACAACACAGCCCAATTTTACGTTCGGCTATACAACAACGAAACATTCAGCTGCTTCGGGGGGTTGTAGAGTCCAAAATCCATATTTGGTCATTATTTTTGCAAATGTCACGGCGATTCATAATTAAAGGCGATTACGCGGCGCTTTCCATAGAGAGGCAGATCAGGCCTGTCACTCCAATAACTATTTCACCTCAATCGCCCAAAGGTACACTCCTAGATTCCAAAATATCTAGATGGAAATGTGGTCAGTTAGTGAAGAGATTCCATCTGCAACCGGGGAATCTCTCGGCAAACTCTCAACGAAACTGTCGCTTGTTTCAAACGTCGAAAACCCGGGGCCCCCCCCAAACTTTTGCAAGAAAACTTCCGATTTTTTAGCCGCAGCTCGGAAGCCTCCCTAGCGATCACGAGTCCCGCCTAACGCGGGGCGACGCTTGTGATCATTTGCTGATAACGTTTGACTTTTTTCCCAGAAGAATGAAAGCTCAATGGAAGTGCAATGGGCATGCAGCGCACTCATATGACAACACGCGACGCAGCCGCAGAAACAGAACTGCCTCAACAGCCAGTAAAGGGGGGGGGGGGTCGCATAGATACCACCTTCCAGTGGGGGGAGGAGGCTCGCACCGAACCGGCGATTTTCCGCAATGGATGCGTGACTCTCAACGGCATAGTGCTTATAGTTCAGTTCGCTGCGGACGGTGGGGCGTGTTAGGCAAGTATTTATTTTTAGGTTGTTGCCGCGGTCGAACAAATCGGCTCTGCGAAGTGTTTGAGGCGGTTACGCGGACTAACATTTTGTTCTGACGAGCTGCATACCGAACGGGACGCGATTACAGCCTTAGTCACTTGCGTCGCCTTTCACAACTTTCTGAAGGAACGGATTTTTGCCACCGTGCCAACCATGCGGGCTGCACGCCCCGCACGACAACGCGACACATATTGTTGGAATATATGAGATAGAGGTACTGTAGATGGGATTAAAACATGCACAGCCAACACTGCAATCCAAAAACGAAACAGTAGGTTTTGACTCATAATTAAACGCACCCATTTCTCAGACGTTGAGGCAGTTCTGTTTCTGCGGCTGCGTCGCGTGTTGTCATATGAGTGCGCTGCATGCCCATTGCACTTCCATTGAGCTTTCATTCTTCTGGAAAAAAGTCAACGTTATCAGCAAATGATCTCACAAGCGTTAGGCGGGACTCGTGATCGCTAGGGAGCATCGAGGCTGCGGCCTAAAAAATCGGGAAGTTTTCTTGCAAAAGTGCGTTTTCGACTTTCCAATCAACACAGTTTCGTTGAGAGTTTGCCGAGAGATTGCCCCAGTTGCAGATGGAATGTCTTCACTACACTGACCACATTTCCATCTAGATATTTTGGAATCTAGGAGTGCACCTTTGCGATCTGAGGTGAATAGGTTATTGGAGTACAGGCCTGATCTGCCTCTCTATGGAAAGCGCCGCGTAATCGCCTTTAATTATGAATCGCCGTGACATTTGCAAAAATAATGACCAAATATGGATTTTGGACTCTACAACCCCCCGAAGCAGCTGAATGTTTCGTTGTTGTATAAGCCGAACGTAAAATTGGGCTGTGTTGTTTTTTCATTTACACTGGATTAATTTCATGAATTCCCCAACCGGCGGAGATACGAATCAGGCGCAAAAGGGAGAACAGTGTTCCTCTAACGTTGTCACTGCTGTGTTCAGTCTTGTTACCTGCAGTTAACATGCACATACGACCCTCTCCTCCCTACCGACAAGTCAGGCTGTGTTTGCACTTTGCGTCCACCAGCGACCCACCAGTGTTTCGAGCGACCCACCAGTGTTTCGAGCGTCTAGGAAGGTATAGATATCGATCTAGTAGGCACCAGCATCTACCAGCGCCCAATATCATACTATAATGTATTACAGCTACATTTATGCTGGTTTTATTTTATTGATCTTCCTTCTCTGAATTATGTCTCACCTCTGTTTTAATGTGTTCAGTTGAAGATTGTATTAGGTATGGTCCCAGCGTTGAACGTTTAGCTGTAGCGAGCGTTCCGTTACACCAGCGTACATCACTAAATTTCAAGAGTTGAAGTGTGAACCACTAGTTACTGATGTTGTCTTTTTGTGTCTATAATTTAAACATGACAGAAGTTTTGAGTGTATGGTGCTTAGGATTCCCAACAGCAGGATCAGCAACCAAGTCAGTCAATCAGTATGCAAGAATCGACCCTGGCCAACTTGATTTTCTTTGACGAAAGATACGATGATGGAGTTTCAGTGTCGCAAGATGAACTCAGTTAGTTCTTTTCTTCTTGAATGGTGGAGATTGTTTAAGTATAGGATCGCATTCAGACGTTGCGATCGTAACGCTCGAACCACTAGATAGAACACGACCGGGGGCGCTCCACCGCCAAGTATGCTCCGCAATGACAGTATCTAAATTGGGCCGCATTAACACAAGTCTGAATTGTGCCGTTGCGGCGGTGCACGTTTTCGTAGAAGGAGTGTCTCTGGTCGTGGTCGTGCGATTGCGACGTTTAAACGCGATCCCATGGTGCGTTCTTACTTGGCGTCAACGTACGTCAGAGTGCGCGTTTGGGAAAGTATAGATATCGATCTAGTGAACGCCAGCGGGTTACCGTCTCAGGGCACTTGTCAACCGAGGAACCTCTCCTCTCTTCCCTTTTTTCTTCCTTGCTCCTTCTTTACCTTCCTTCCTTCTCTGATCCCTCCTCCTTTACCTTCTCCCTTCAACTACTGGACTGGTAGATGTATTGACCTCGTGAAAACAACCCTGGACCCCCGCAGCGAGAGCACGTCTGGTTGACAACTGCCCCGTAAATAAGGAAGAGGGATGACAGAATGAAAGAAGTAAATGAAGGAAGGACAAGGAAGGCTCCGCGATTGACAGATATCCTGAGACCACGCCAGAGTATGTAACGCCGTTTTCGCGGGCAATTTGAGTTTGAGCAAAACTGCCCGCGAAGGCGCAGCTGTACGCTGGATGCGCTGGAGGACTCTAGGTCGGTATCTGTGTTTTTCTAGGCGCCAGCACCGGCGTGCTCTCAAAACGCTGCCTTACGCTGGCGTATGCTGACGCGAAGTATGAGAGCAGATTTAGGCTCATCACAAAGAAAACATCTGAAATATTTTTCGCACGAATAAAGTAAGGGATCTTTGGGTCATACATTTCTTACTTTTAGTTCACCCGGTCTGTTATCATACGCTCGTTCTCCTTGCAGATCGCCAGAGGCAGATGCAGCGCGAGCTTGGCAAACTCCAGTTCGTGAATCCTGGTGGTCTAATGACGCAGCCAACGAATACACGTCGTTCAAGACGTAAGATAAATGGTAAAGTCGTGTTTACATTCGATTGTTTCTTTTTATGGGTGTGTAAAATGCCACGTTTTTCACTGTTGCCAGAACTTAAAAATGTATACCTTCTTTATTTAAGCTCGAGCTGTTGCAGAAGATAAAGAATCCACCCAAGAAAAGCGTCATATCTTTCATGACAAAAAAGGAAAACTTGTAGTTCCTGGTGAAGAAAGCATGACTTTATGTGATTGCTTGATTCCAGAATGTCATGGTTGTCACTGGCCATGTGGGAATTGTGGAGGTTTGTTTACTGGATATTTTGACGGTTATTTTTCTCATTCGTTTTGCATTTAGAAACATTTTTTGGCGTTCTTCCTATAAGGCGGAGCATTTCGGTGCAGTAGTTCTTGCAGGCAGACAGCGGGCATTCTAATTTTGCAAAAGAAGCCCTTGAATGTTATGATCTGAAACTTTCGTATGAGTTGTTCGATTTTTTTTCCTCGTTGACTGACATTACAAGGGAGTTTAGGTCGTGGAGTGCCTTTTCAAAATGGATTAAAAGTTCAAGGTCTGGAAACCACCTATCCCTTGTAGCCCTGAGAGTTTGCATTGTATTAGGTTATCTCATTCAAAAACGTGGAGACAAATTGAGGAATGGTAGGAAAGCAAAGGCACTGGGGCTGCGGGCTACTACATTGTCTGCAATCTGGTACCTTCAGGTACGTATCTGTACAGAGCCACAGAAAGAGTTCTAAAGAGGTTGAAAAAAAACAAAAAAGAAGTGATCAAAACCAGCACCGGATTGTGGAATCGGGCGTTATACAAGGAAAGAGTGCGCTAAAATTTATCCTCTGCCGAAGTATCAGTTGCGTACAACGGTGTTCTCGGAAGGTTGTGGAAGATTCGGTTCAGAAGTCCAAAGAAGGAAGAGAAGAAATAACTGCGGCCGAAGAAGGCCTCATTGTGTTCATTCTGCACAAGGGAGGGTGGATGAAGTCAAGGTCTCAATGTCTGGTCACAGAGGCTAGATCGTTGCCTTTCCTAAGAGACTGGAATTTACTGCAACTGTCGCCCGTTATGTCCAAAAAAAATTGAAAATGGTCATGAGGATGTGCGAATGCAGATGAGAAGCCGCTCGAATTCTGTCTAGAAGGTTACTTGGGCCCAAAGGCGTTACGTGTCATCATAGCGATTATTTCCTGCACTGTGGCTCTCAAGCGGATCTATACAACGGACAGAACCAGCACTGTCGGTGTTTACTGCCCAGATCCTCGATAATCAGATTGACATATAGTACCATTCAATTCCAAGAAGGCCATTATTCATCATTCGTGCCAAAGCCAGGCTCTGAGTAGCCGTGTTATTGGGCAATGCTCGGACAAAAAAGTACTGAGACTTGTATTCAGTGGTCTTAACCCTACAGCCGCGCCATTTTGACTGTTGTAGTCTATAGAAGGCACAGTAAAGGCAAACGCTACGGCAATTTGTCGATCGTGGAAACTGGCTTCGATAGCATTTTATTCGCACTTGCTAACAAAAGAAGCTGCCGTGGTCCAAACGCTTCCGGGGCAGTAGCGGGTCGCCGATGAATGAAGAATCGACTCAACTTGAAGCGGAAGTATACTTTCCTAGCTACTTCCCTCTTCGTTTTATTTGAATGAAACCCTCCTTCTAAATGACATACCCTCTCGTAAGTCGTATCTGTCATGCATACATAAATATAAATGAACATGAAATGTAGCACCATTAATGAAGCGCTATCACTTGCAATGAAAAGGTCAACGAAGTTACCGTGAGTGGGTGGGCTCCAGCTATTCGGAGGGGTCCGATGGTGTGGTTGATTGGGAGCTGGCTTCCGCACGCAGCGTTGGAGGATGATACGCGGTTGGATCCTTTTAGGGCGCCTTCTGGCACTTCTTGTTTTGAGGGGGGAGGAAGGGGATGGTGGTGAAAATCACATATATAGAAAAAAAATGGGATTTATAGCAATGCAGATCATCCATCAGATCATCCATTGGAGGGCCCATGCATCATGCCCAAAACTGTTTTGAAAAGGCGCTCTGGTACTTGAACTCCCCCTTATAGGTTGGTTCAGACTTTACAATCGGATCGCTCGACCACTTGGGATCGCTCCATCGCCAAGCGGTGCACCGCCGCAAGGGCAGAATTCAAACTGGGCCGCGCAGACATAGTGCCGATTTGAATTGTGCGGTGCACCTTTTGACGGTAGAGCGCCCCGGTCGTTGTCAAGCGGCCCGATCGCGAAGTCTGAACGCGGGTTAGCGCGAAGAAATCCACCGATTGAAATTCCTTGTACGCTAGAATAAGGTTTTCACATTTAATTGGAAAGTGGAGCTCTCCCCCCTCATTGGTTTCGATAAATATCATATTTTGTTTGTTTTCGTCTTATTTTGTTTGTTCTTATTTTCAGATTCCTTGACCTCCTTGACCATACAAGATCTAAATTTAATGTCGCTACGAACGTTCACCATATTCAACGATTGGCCAATAATAGCCTCAATGTCCGACGAGCAATTCGATTCGTTTCTAGCCGATCGTGGATTACTATGGCGTAATAGGCAATGTCCTAACTGCAATCAACCGCGTCGTCTAACGTCGCAGTCATCAGTGGGAAACCAAGATGTTCGGCTAAAATTTGAATGTAACCGGGCGTCGTGTCGAAAGCCCGGTATAAAAAGGAAGATTGGTTATCTCGTTGACACGTTCTTCGAAAAGCTGAGGGGAAATCGCAAGAAGATATTTCTAGCCTCATATTTCTTCATCCACGATATGGGAACAGTGGAAGAAAGAGCACGCTCGTGTGACGTGAATCGTTCAACGATTGTTAATTGGGACCAGTGGTTCAGAGAAGTACTCGTAGAAAGTTCCCTGATCAAAAAGAAGAATGGATCGACAACAACGTTGGAAAAGTTGGATCATCATTCACTCAAATCAACGTGGAGTTGGCAAACGGCCACGGAGTCAAGGTTTTACCTATTGTGGGCCGCTATTGCGAAACTGTATCCTATTCGAAATCGAAACTAGGTGCGTTTTGCCTTTACTAGACGTTTTCTTTCAATAAAGGAAGTTGTTTCTTATGGTTTCAATTTGCTTGAGTGCTCTGCAGCAAATGCCCCACCTTATTGGAATGCGCCCATTTTATTCGATTGGAGCACTTTTCGTTAATCCTGTATGTCTTTCACTTTGTTTGCTCTTGGGACATGAGATAATGATCAACGTCGCGCCGATACACTTGTTCCTAGGTCGTCTATGTGGTCCAATATGTCAGCAGAATCGCAAGAAGTTTGTGTCATGTGTGAAGGTGCTAGGAGTCACACCAGAAATGATGGTTACTAATCCTTACGTCAAATTGAATTGAAATTATCTGTGATCTCGTTTACGCTATCTTTCCATTGTTTAGCCTTTATCGTTTAATAATGCTAATTTGAATATATAAAGTGTAATCATATAGTGCTGTTGTTCTCGTTTGCTATAAGCGTATCATACGTTTCCGCCTGTAACTCAGTCAATCGATACCTTCACAATGGTTGAACGCCACATCGAAATTTCCCATACAACGACATCGCCACTAAGCAACATCACTTCGTTTCTCATTTTCTTTTTCCACTTTCTTTTGACATAAACTTTGAAGTTCTGGTCGCTTCCCTGAGAGAACTATGTTTCCACAGCAATATTTTTTTACGACTGGCCTCAAATTTTTGACCCTACCTGGGATATCTGTCTATTCTGAAGCCCTCTAGAGCAATGTTTGAGCGGTAAAGCTTTCTAGATTGATGGATGCATGAAAAGCATGTGGTTCGTTCGTTTCATGCGCTTCTGGGCGAGGGTGCAGAGAGCTGTGAGGACCAGTTTCTGGGCGTACGCTGATGGTTACACGTACACGCTTTCGATTACCAATGGTTTCTGATCAGGCGTGTGGATAGAGTGGGAACGTTTTGTTGTGAAGTATTCGAGTATAGTAAGAACCGTGAGCTCTTTACGCTGATGATGTTTCAATCGACATATGGGAGGGGGAGGGGCAGTGCCAGAAGGAATGCTGGCATGGCAGTATTTTATGAGGACATTGGTCTTGTATGAGGGCCATATCTCGCGGCAGTTACGCCATACCGTATTTCATGCTCTGCTTCATCCCGTTGTTGCAATTGCGCTTGAAATTCAATCAAATGGGTAACCACCAGTACCTGTCGCGGAGTAGAAAGATATCTGGCCTTTTTGGGCGAAGTTCATATGTGACATCGGCCATCACTGAAACCAGTTAAAGTAGACTGTGCGAGTCGTCGCTGCTGTACCATTACCCAGCAGCGCGCATTCCAGCTCCACCAGCAGCAAATTCAGACCTATTCCCCATGCACATCTTCTTTTTATACCATTTTCACTTTAAATTCATCCCTTTTCAAACCAAATTCACCCCTTTTCAAACCAAATTCACCCACCTTCCGAATCGAATTCACCCACCTTCCGAATCGAATTCACCACACTTATTAGGCCGCGCAATTCATCAACCAAATCACGCCAGACACTACTGCGGGCCCCGCCCCCTCGGCCACGCCCACTTGCTTTTTGCGGAATTTTGATATTTTTTCAAAATTTTTGCATTTTTGGACTGCTACGTGAAGCCCCGCCCACTGTGAGAGGCTCCGCCCACTTTGGAGAAGCCCCGCCCACTTTTTAAAAATAGTGCAGATCGGCATAGAATCTCGGCTGGCATGCTAGGGTATTGCTGATCATTCGTAACAAACTTTGCCTTATTTTCTTGAACCAAGACCCCATACTGCCGATTGACACCATTTTTGAAAAGTGGGCGGGGCTTCTTCAAAGTGGGCGGAGCCTCTCACAGTGGGCGGGGCTTCACGTAGCAGTCCAAAAATGCAAAAATTTTGAAAAAATATCAAAATTCCGCAAAAAGCAAGTGGTGTGGCGTGGCCGAGGGGGCGGGGCCCGCAGTAGTGTCTGGCGTGATTTGGTTGATGAATTGGCCTAATAAGTGTGGTGAATTCGATTTCGGAAGGTGGGTGAATTCGATTCGGAAGGTGGGTGAATTTGGTTTGAAAAGGGTGAATTTGGTTTGAAAAGGGATGAATTTAAAGTGAAAATGGTATAAAAAGAAGATGTGCATTGGGAAAAGGTCTGAATTTGCTGCTGGTAGAGCTGGAATGCGCGCTGCTGGGTAATGGTACAGCAGCGACGACTCGCACAGTCTACTTTAACTGACTTCAGTGATGGCCGATGTCACATATGAACTTCGCCCAAAAAGGCCAGATATCTTTCTACTCCGCGACAGCCAGCACTACGTTGCGTAGATGGTATCTAAAAAGATTCTGGATCTCGGTCTGGTCGTAGGACCATCCTCAGCGTTTGGAAAGGGGTGAATTTGGTTTGAAAAAGGGTGAAGTTGGTTTGAAAAGGGGTGAATTTGGTTTGAAAAGGGGTGAATTCAAAGTGAAAATGGTCTATATGGACTGAATGCAGCCCATACCTGGGGTCAACCTACAGTTAGTTTTAGGGCTATGGTTCCACGGCGTTGAAAGGGCTTCTTTAGAGTTGCAGGGACTTCTTTCCAGCTTAATTAGGCTTCATTTCATTGGCAGTCATGCATCGAAGTGCTTGCAGTAGTTGATGTGGTGGTTACATTTAGTCGTAGAGAGAGACGGGCTGACCAAAGTAGTGGAATCCTCTTTTAATTAACGTGCCTTTCAGTCAAAACGAGGTTAAGCTTTGAGTACGAATTGAGTTTAATACCTACTGGTCATAATCACTAGTTTATCAATGATATTTATGGCTTATACGTTTCAATCAAAACCGACCAGTAGGTTCTATGAAGGCAATCCAGAACAGCTGATGCACAACGGAGGTCGTGTTGGAAATGAACCGTTAATTGAAACCACCTTTTTAAATGAAGGGCACATCTTATCACAGGTGGATATCGGGTCCCTAGCGAGTGCCTCCCTCTCACTTAACGAGAGCTCATGGTCATAACCTCTGGTCTACCCCTTTTGCGCTGTCTTTAATGACAGCTTTGAAGACTGTATCACACAACTTTTAAGTCATCACTGTAATGCACGCATGTCAAATTTGAGATTGGTCTGTGAAGGGTGCGATCTCTACGATTTGATCATCTGAAAGCTACAACATCTAGCTCCTCTTGATCGTGTGGCTATCTCTCAGGAAATTTCCCGCTGTTTCACTCATGGTGCAGCATTACCGCTATATTTTGTGTCAAGGTTGTTTTGATATAATACCTGCTGTTTAACGCTGCAGTTCACGCTCGGGACCATGAGATATGGACAAAAATCGACCCAGACGGGACTCGAATCCGCTTCTCCCCGCTCACCGGGCGGTTGCGTTATCCATAACGCTAGAGGACACTCTCACCCTCTCAGCTCAATGGATTTGCCCGTATCTCAGCGACCTTGTGATATTTTCCGTCAGTTCGCTGAAGTAAAGCTGTGGAAAACGGCTGTCATCGCCACATGGCGATGACCCCTACGATTTTCCTACGCCCCGCCTCTGAGTCTTCGAGGCGTGGGCGTAGCCCATGACTCCATTGTATTGCTGCATAACCAGATAAAGGTTGACTGGTCACTCGTCTGTACTCAACTACAAAACCACTGAACCGCCAGCATAACGGCGTAGACACTGTACCATGGATCGGACCCGTGGTACAGTGTCTACGATTCGTATCTGATCCCCTAGGAGGATAGCAAACCCTGTCCTGTACATCGGCCTGCTCTTCCTGAGTCGGTGGATAGGCCAACTACGCATTTAAATGCGACTTATAAGATCTTGGGTAAGTTGGATTCGTGGCGCATAAAAAATAACAATGAACGCGGAATCCTTCTCCCTATCTATCCTCTTGATCTTTTGACGGGCAGTTGTCCTTCGCTTTATTCCGTCACCTTTCTCTGATCTGATGCTTATGATGAGGCGTTCTTTCCACCTTGTTTGATTGACACTTTTTGTTTAAGCCAGTAAAAATTTCCATTATGTCTATACTTAAAGGATAAGACTTTGCCGTTATTGATGCTTGTCAGAATGCCGCACGGACTCTGCTTCTATTTAGAATCATAAATTCTTATTGAATGTGATGTGGCCTATACAATGGCTTGAGGGGTCAGCGATTTACAAGTCAATTTTGTTATCCTCCCAGACGAAGGTATAGTGTAGTTCGCTGCGGACTGTTGGGCGTGTCAGGCGGGATGAGTTTGGCGCGGTGCCAAACCGTTTTCACCAGTTGTTAAAGCGAGCAAATGATATGACTGTATCATATCGTTCGTATTACTCGTTTTCTACCACTTTTTGTCGCATGCGCGCTTCAACAAGAAGGCAGAGAACGGCTTGACGGGTGACACACTCATACTGCCTGACACGCCCAACCGTCCGCAGCGAACTAGGGTGTATTTACGGCCCGAGGTAGAAGGCTTCGTTGGTCTGAGTGGGAGCCGGTCAGGGATTTGACCCTCAGACCGCGCGCGCCACTACACCACCTCCGCCTCATATTTTTATAAATAAGCGAAGGGGAAGAGTGTCTTGTCTTTACCATGACGCCTTTCCTCATCAACGGTGATATTTCGCCTGCTGAAGAGTTGCAGTTTACTAGCATTTGAGGTAAAGAAGGACGTTTCACCTCTGATTCTTTGCGTTTCTGATCCCACTGGATGCCTCACTATCAGTTTTGAGATAACACAAGGGTGTAGACCAACTCCTTTCGTCATAGTTTGTTTTTTACGAGGCGGAGGTGGTGTGAAGGCAAGTGGCTCACCACGCGCACGACCCGGGAGCGAAATCCTGGATCCGTCCTCGCCCTGGCCCACTTTCCTCGGGTACGATAAACTGGCACCAGATTGGTGTGGGAGATGAGAACACTGATGGGTACATCGGTATGCCTCGCAAGTCATTGACCACATCGCATCCAGAAAAATCTACGATTCCTCATGGAAGTGGAATGCGTTCCAAATAGCGTTTTATTAAGACTTTATCCTCTATCCATTGTTTTTCATATGCCCTTAACATGCCCTTTCAGTCCTTCAAACGGTTTTCTAGGTTAGCTAGTAACCTCTGTTGGTAATCTCACGCTGGCAGCTTATGTTGGTGATTGTGGAATTTGTTTGTTCATATGCCCCCCGAATCAAGCTCTGTTTCTATGACACTCACGTTTCGTGTCAGCCCGTGTGCTCGCCGCATTGCCAGCACACAAATGCAAATTGCACGTGTCCTCTCATTACTATTCACTTATTTTTGTGAACCATAAAGTAACGGTATGAAAAATGAATTGAATGAATTGAAACAAAGTTTTGTTAGT